ATGCGGAAGCAGCGCTGTGGCAGGAGGCGTCACTGTGGCAGGAAGCGGCGACGTGGCCGGATGCAGCGCTGTGGCAGGAAGCAGTGACACGGCAGGAAACGGTGGTGCGGCAGCCCTGCGGCACCAGTGTTCCGTGTTTGCCACTTTACTCTCTCAGCAGGGTTCCGCGTTTGCTGCTTTCCAGGTCTATCTCTGGGACAAAGCCTGGGTTGCTCAATACACCAGACTATGTCTTCTCTCGTCCAACCAGGACTCCACACCTAATAATAGTAATGTATTCAGATAAGTAATTGTTTTGTCTGAACAGATCTAAATCCTAAAAATTAACTTTGTTCTCATATATGGTTACATTAGAACAGTGGCCTTGGACAAATTTTTAAAAGAAGGTACTTGATGGATAGATACTTACTACTTTCATAAAGAAAGAAAGAAGTGTTCCAAGCCACTTTATGCAGATCTTTGTACTACAAAAAGTAGACAACCTGAGTAAAGGCTTGAGTAATATTTTCTTTGATCTACACAGATTTGCTGAGAAATAACTTATGATATAGTTCACAGAAATTATAGTTGAAATAGATTTGGTTTTATTTAGCAGTGTTCCATACCAAATGTACAGCCTAGGAAATAAGGAAGAATAAGACCGTCACTTATGTGTCGGTGTAGGTTATCTTGAACACTGATGTTCGTGTTAAAACTGTGGGTTTACATACAGAGAACATATGGATATGCAAGAGGCAGTGCAGGAATTCCTTTCTATCTGCTGAACAGATGAGTAGTACATTAATGCATATACCCTCACATGACAACCTATCCCAATGATTAACAAAAAAGAAACTACCTTAATTCAGATATATCTCTGTTAATGTAGGGTTTAGGACAGCAAATATAGCAACGCTTGCTCAGGACACTGAAGAGTCAGCTACTGAGTGTGGCCGTGAAAGAGTCTTCAGATATTAAATTTTCAACTTTTGATACAGTCCTTCACAGTATACTTCTGGATAAAATGTCCAGCATAAAGCTGGACATACACACAAGCATGATGGGTGAAAAATTGGCTGAAGGTTCAGGAGCAAAGAGTTGTAGTAAACAAATAACTTCTGGCTGGTGGCCAGTCTCCATTGGTGTTGCCCGGGGGTCAGTTTTAGGCCCAGTCCTCTTCAATGTTTTTATCAATGACCTGACACAGGATTTGAATGCACACTGTGTAAATTTGCTGACAGTACTGAAATATGGGGACCCATTCATTTCTTTGAGGGTAAAGAGTCCTTACAGAGAGATTGTGATAGACTGGAGCACTGAGAATCACCAACTGCAAAAAGTTTAACAAGGACAGATGCCTGAATCTGCACCTGGGTTGGTGTAATCCAGTCGAACATGTAGACTGGGGGACATGAGTCTGGAGTGCAGCCCTGCAGAAATAGATCTGGGGGGTATGGTTGGTAATAAGCTCAACAGAAGGCAACAACATGCCCTGGTGGCCCAAAGATCCAACCATATCCTGGAGTGCATGAAGTACTGTAAGCTAATTGATCAAAAGAAGTGATTGTCCCACTATACTCAGCAATGGTGCAGCCTCACCTCAAGCACTGTGTGCAGTTACGGTCTTTTTAGTGAGAAGGTGGTCAAGCACTGGAACAAGATCCCCAGGGAAGTGGTCATGGCACCAAGTTTCTTGTTGTTTAAGAAGCGTTTGGACAATGCTCTTACATACATTGTTTAACCTTTAGATTGTCATAAGTGGAGTCAGGAGTTGGACTTGATGATCTTCGCGGGTCTTTTCTGACTCAGGATATTCTCTGATTCTATGATTGACTATTTTTTGTAGTTGACTAGCTGCAATAAAAACCAATACAACAGTGGTGAAAACATTGGAAAATAATCAATGAGGAGTTTCTTATGCTTACAGAGACCTACTTGCAAGCTATGTAGTCTGAAAGTTCATTCCTACATTTCTGAAAACACACAATTTCTTTCACAATTACCTGACAGAAGGAAGATGAGATTTCAGGTTGTATGAATTTAACATACATTTGTAAAGGCTGTAACACAGTTTATTTCTTCTTTGTGTTAAAGTCTAATAAGTATACAAGGTGACTTCTGATTCTCTCATAGAAAAAAGTAGTGATTCTTCTCAATTAAGTTCCTGTGAGCCTCTTTTGTTCCCTTTTTATATGCCTTAGAAAATAACATGAAACAGAGTTTGTCAGTGTTACATGTTGGATTGTATTTTTCTTCTCAGATCAGAGCCGAACTGTCAGAAGCAGGAAGAAACTGCCTTACACTAAGGATAGGTACCACCAGTTACCTCACTGCAACTATTTTGCAGCTGGTAAGGCTGAAGTTTCACTTTTCTGAGACTTATTGTGTCTCCAAGGCACCTTTCTGCAGATTGTTTCCTAACCTGTCCTGGTTCTGGTGCCCACATTCAGAGTCTGCCTCTGTGTCCTCTTGGAA